CCCCAAAACCCCAAAACCCCAAAACCCCAAAACCCCAATGGAAGATTAAAGAATAAATTGATGGTTGCAAGAATTAATGTTTAAATATGAATGCTTTCTGAGAAACATCATCAACAATTTGAGATTGCTTAGCATGATTGTTCAAAATCTGTTTGGAATAGCAGCATTAATTTGCTTTGCTTGCTCAACTAGCTCTCTCACAACATTATCTATTTCTTGCTCATTTGCATTTGGAAGATAAACTCTTCTCTCAACTCCGTAGTCATATCTTGCCATCACAGTTGGCTGAGCATTTTTGCATTCTCTTACTATGAATGGTAGTTCTGGGTTGAACTCCTTTATTTGTTCATAATTCTTTTGTACATAGTTTCTAAGAAAAAATTTGATTTTGAAATTAATACCTTGCACCAGCACTTTGAGCTGAGGTTTAGCAGAAAATGAATCTCAATTCTTTAACATGCTTGGCAATATCACTTTTCCAACTCATTTTATTTATAATTATTATAATTTAATTAATCTAGTTCACTAATAATTCATTCAGCCTAATTTTCAACATGATGAACAGTTAATAGAAGATGATGATTGAAGGGATTTTCCTTTTGTAATGTCCATTTTGCTTCTTTTGCTTTTTCTCTAAGCTTCACCCTGAATTCCTCCTTTTGCTCTGGTTTAAATACAGCTAAGTAATCAGCAGTCTCCACATGTACTTTAGCTTGGTCTTTAAAAAGAATTGACATGTCCTCCTTAATGTTGTTTGCAGAGTGAATGCTCAAAACACCAATGTCAAATAGATTCTTGTATTTCTTTTTCAAATATAGCTTATCGATGCTTCCACTCAAGAAATGAATTTTTACTTTTGCTTAAGAAAATCCTTCTAGTAAATGTCTTTGTTGAGTTTCTGAGGCTTGTGTAGAGATTGTATCAGAGATTTCTTCACTAATTGCACTCAAATCAATCGTTTTTTATGGTTTTTATAGTTCTTTTACCAGATTTTTAGCATTTTATCTATAAGTTCATTTTAATGAATGAAATTTACTCTATTTATTCATTAGTAGTATCATCTTTGTTTTCCTCTCCTTCTAATTGTTACTCGTCCTCCAACAATTGCTTCTTTTCCTCTTCTTATTTATATTCTTCATCTTGCTAGTTTTCATCTTCTTCCTTAATATCCTCAAGTTTCTTCTCTTCCTCTTCCTTTTCATCTTCTTTCTTCTCTTCCTTATATTGATCTTCGATATGTTTCAGTCTCTCAAATGGATACTCAAATTTAGTTAATTTTTCAAGTTAATGCATATACTTTCCAATACTGTAAGCACAAATATCACTGCACATCTGTAGTACTATTATATGTAATTAAAATTATACATAAATTCTTTGGAAGTTAATTTTCTTGAAAAACTTTTCTCTGTCCTCAGCACTTTCAATCTCGGCACCCAGTGGAATATAAGGGGAATTTATAATATCTCCCCAGAACCCTCTTACTAAAATGCTATCTCCAGTTTTTTTCTAGAATGTTCATTAAATCATGTAATTATATTTATATTTTTTTACCTTTTTGCCTGGAATATAAGCACCGAGTGTACGATTCGGGATAGAATTTTATACCAATCTAGTCTCATAAGCGATGCCATTCATTCTCCAATCTTTATACTCTGTTATATTGCAGTGTGGAATCTGTATTATGTTATTTGTATAGAAAAAGGTTTACTTTATCTTTAATGTAGAATTAATAATCCCAATCAACTGCATTTCTTCTGAAATCATATCTGTCTTGGAAGTGATGTCTTAGTCTCTAGTCTCTGAGCTTTTCAATTTCAAATGGATTTCTCTTTAGGTATGAATTGAATATATCTTCCATTTCATCTCTATCCTTGAAGTTCAATGTTTCAAAATTTATTAGATCTTTGATCACACTCTTACCTCTTGAGTCCTCTGTCACTAACATGATTAATTCTTTGGTAATAGTCTCAAGGTAGTTAGCAGTCTTATCTCTAAGTAAGGTATTACCATAGAGATCTAGGAATAATTCCTATCTCTCACGTTGTGATAATTAACACTCACAAATTATAGTAAGGAATAACACTGCTCTGCAGAGATTCTCTTTTTGCTTATCGTGAATATAGATATTTAAAGTATTTTGTCTATTCTATTATAAGGGTAATGATTCTGCCAATGTTCTTAGAGTATGCCTTATATCTGAACACTCAGATATTAATACATTTAGTTCCTCATCCTAGTCTAACTTATGAGGAGTTCCTGTCAAGAAATTGATAGAGGGTGAAAAGCCCCAGAAAGGGACAAATCCTAGCGCTTCCATTATTGTAGTGTTAAATTAATATTTAAAATTTTAAATAATCGAATTTGTATAATTAATCAGCTGTAATACATTAGAATTAAACCTTTAAGATAATTTCAGCAGACTAAAAGATTCTAAATGAACTCTTTATTAATAAATAAATCTCATCATACGTCTACATTTTGCATCAACCACTCGACTCCTTCCTTTAATCCTAAATAGATATTGCTTTAAAAATGTTGAAATACCTTCACCTTCTTTCGCACTACATGCACAAATAGTCCAAGCTCTGTCATTTATCATATCAAGATTCAAAATTTCTTCAATTTCTTCAGCTGGTAGAGCAGATATCAAATCTTATTTATTTGCAAATATCAGCATGGGTAAGCCAGCTAATTTATCTTCCTATAATTATTTGGCATAAATTTATAATATGTTGTTACCTCTAACAGCTTTTGCAATTCTTCTCCGCATTCATCCATTCTTTTCCTATCAGATGAATCAATAACATAAATCTACATGAGTATTTTATACAAGAATGTTAGTTACTAAACAATCAATCTTATCATAATAGTTCTTCCAGTGCTAACGAATTGCTTTTTATCCACCTAAGTCCCAAGCTTCAAATTTGAAATTGCCTTATTACAAAGATTTTATATTGAAACCTTATGTAGGCATAACGTACTGAATTTCCTCATTAGATAATGCCTTTAGGATTGTAGTTTTACCTGCATTATCCAATCCTACAACGCACATTCTAACATTTTTTTAGGTTTCTTTCTTTTTAGAGAAGAATTATTGAATGATTCCAGTAGCAGTCTAACTTAAAAGTTCCATTGCTAAATTAAACAAGCCAAATTTTAATTTCAATTAATTTAATACATTGTAAACACTTATTCTTTAATGTGGGGTTTTGGGGTTTTGGGGTTTTGGGG